AAATCATTTGTTGTCCAACCATCTGCGGGGGAAAGAATTTTTTTTTTTAGTAATCGAAAGGTATGTATGTATATACGCAAATTTAAAATTACATTCAAAGAATAAGACATGATGGAACCCTGCCAAAAGTTTAATTATAAAAACCTCGAAGCTAGAAAGCATTTTTCATATAAAATTTCGTTAGCTCAGAAAAAGCTTCAACATTATCGAAGTTTACGAGGCTTTTCACATTTCAAGAGAACATGGCTCTTACTTATTATTTTATTTTATTTTTTTTTCAAGAAAACTGGCAACACAGCTGTTCGGCAAATTGTTAGCGCTGGTGCCAATCGCCTTGTTTTTTTTTTACTGAACCTAGAGGTCACCTGTTTGTTTTTGTCATATCTTCAACATTTACAGGCGGATCTTAGAGCATGATGTAACGATGTCTTTGACTCGAGGAGAAAATATTTAGAAAGGTAAACCTAGGGCAAAAAAAAATCGGAATTGCTTTAAAAAATACTATTTTTTATTGTTTATAAAGTGATTCGGTCTAATGTAGTAAAGAGAAAAAGTTTATGGTTTAATTACTTCCATAGTGGGGAAAATGCAATCTTAGTTTTAAGTACGAATTCATGATTACCTTAAAGACCATTCTATTTTTGATCTGAAATTGGCCTTTATTTATTTAAAACTAAGATTACATTTTCCGTATGGAAATATCCAGCACTGGACATTTAAATATACATACATACACAATAAACTAAGGGCCGTTTTCTAAAGTAACCTTTAACTTTAAAGTTCACTTTATATTTAAAAGTGAAATTAAAAATAAAGCTACGTTTAAAGTGAAGCATTTCTGTTATCGGTTTTTGATGTATATATGTATGTTTCTTGGTTGTAAAGCAATCTAATCCCGATAATAAAATATTTTACTTTAGACACAATCATAAATAATGCAACAAAGTGAGCTTTAAAGTTACGGGTTACTTGAGAAAACGGCCCTAAGTGTGTTTGATGTCAAAAAAAAATTTTGCAAAATAATTTTCGTTTGGTCCTAAAAGTTTAATTGTTTGTTTGAAGGAAAAAAAGTCGCCCAAAAAAAAAGATATTTGCCTGAATTTATGAAATTATACAAGAATACAAAATGAAACGCTAATTTATATGGAACAAGTTTTTGTTATTCATTTGTATTTGTAAAGCGAAAATCTCGATACACGCCATAAGGGAACATATGGCTTTTTTTATTTTCTGTTTTGGAGATGTATTTCTGCCGCTAGGTTTCGATATAATTTTTAATTCTACTTTTTTTTTAATTTTTTTCTTCACTTACAACTTGCCATCCTTAGTGAGCATATTTGTCGATCCAATGGATATAATTTCAGATTCATGGGACATGCGAGCGTTAATGATATACGAATACTATACAGCACAGAGCCATTCGGAAAGATGCGTATGTAGACATTTGGCATGATTATGTTGTGGAAATGGCCCTCTTTCTCATTGGAAAAGAACAAATCGGGCATCCACACACGATTTGCTTCAGTCAATGTTAGGTACTTGAGGCGACCTGTAGACGAGAAAAATTAATGTTATTAATTTGAAATATAGAGGTTGTAAGGTGATTTTATGCTAAGTTTTCTAGTATGTACATATATGCATATTATTTAATCGTCGATGTTTTACCGGTTTAGCCGTCAATTTTACATACACAAAAATTCAATATATTCGCGAAACCATAGGCGAAATATAATAAAACTGCGGTTTTGTTTTGATTGCTAGAAAAAATTATTTAAAAGTGTGGAATGCAGTAGAGCAGTAGGTCTGGGTATAAAATTAAGGAGCAAGTTCTGTGAAGAGTAGGTATTTGTCCTTTTAAAATTGTATCCTTGAAATTTTGGAATACTTATTTAAAAAATATATATATATTAAGGATTAATATACACTTGACCACCTCATCGAATTTCGACCTTTCAACTTTATAAGCTTAAAAATAAATTAATTAAAAGAGCATTTTCGTTCTTGTGAACTAAACAGTTTTTTAATTATATTTCTCTTTCATTTGGTATCCATATTGTTTCTCTACATTTCACTGAATTTTATAAATAATTTTTGAAAATATTTATATCTCCAAGACTACAAAGTCTTTTCAAAAATAATCCCGACGTCAAATAGATAAACTAAAACGCAGTTTTGCTATATTTGGCCTATAGTATTGTGAGTATTTTGATTATTTTTATATTTCTGTCGTACGGTATCATCGATGGGGTCGTTACCGATTTAGTCAACTCTGTAAATATCGTTACTGGTAATTTTATGCTATGGTTACCGCTATTGTTATCATTATCATTAAAGCAATTGTCAGTGATGCCATTTTCCATAACTTTAATCATTATCGCCAACATAATAACTATCGTTATGGCTATTATTTCCATTATTGTTGTCGTTATGATCATCATTCTCGTTATTATTATCATTCTGATATAGGTATCATAAGCGTTACCGTTATTGTTATCGTTATCATTATCGTCATGATTATCAAAAGTGTTTTTGTTATCATTATCGTTTTCATTATCGTCATCGTTTTCGGTCACTAACGAGACATCGTTATCTTCATAGCTTTTGCTTACGTTATTGTTACCATTACCGTTATTGTAATCGTCTTTTAAATCGCCATCGTCACCGTTATTTTTATCGTTATATTTATCCTTTTTGTTATCGTTATCTTTATCGTTTTGGTTAATGTAATATTTATCGTTTTAGTTCTGGATATTGTTATCGTTATCTTTATGGTTTTGTTACAGAGCTTTAAAGTTCTACTAAAGACCTTCTTACGGCCGCTCATTGTCACCACCAGAGCAGAAACCATATCTGATTTGATTTTAGATTTTTCCTTTAACCAATTAAAGTCTAAAGTATAACTCGCTACTCACCTTGTATGTCATCGAATTTCAGCCGCTCGTCTGTCCACTGTTCGCGGAATGTCAACTGCACGCTGTACTCCTGCACACCCACACAAAAATGTCGATTAGTACAATTCGTCGAAAACATGAAAAGTTTATTTTAAATTTGTGATTTCTAAATAATGATTATGTAGGTATGTATAACTAAGCTACGATGGATTAACTGATTATCTAATGCGCTCGTTTTGAATTAAATTATTTTTGTTCCGGATAATTTGCCAGGGTGAAATGGATCGATTGCAAATTTTGCATTTTTCTTGGTGAATATTTATTTTCAATGAGACTGATGGGTTCTACGAATTTCGTTTCAAAAATTTCGCAATATTCCAAATTTCCTCTTTTTTAAATTGTACGAATGGTGTGCTATTTAAATAGTTAAAAAACGAATTTAATTTATTTGCGGAAATTTTGCGTAAGAGATTTAAATTTTTCTTTTGCATAGATTTTTGGTTGGCAATTGCAAGTAGGTGGGTTGATTGGGTGGTGGTCGATTGGCTGATTGGGTAACTAATTGAATTGATTTGAATTGAATTGAGTGACTTTTTCGAATGGTGGTGGTGAATGGGCGTTGATTTGTTTTTGTCTTTGATTTTGCAGGGTAATTATGTTTTCGATAAGTGCCGTTATGCGTGGGTTTTTCTATTTCCAATTTGTTTTGTTTGGATTTTCTGGGTTTATTTGCTCTGATTTGGATTTTTCAGTATCGGTTATGATGATTTTGGTGTAAGCAATTTTTCGCAT